TGTGGTTGTATTTCGCTTAATAGCCTGCCATGAAAATTATAGAAGGCAGAAAACAAAACGTTAAACATTGTTATTGAAGCGTTTGGCCTAGTAGATTGTATATCAGTATACCCTTCCAGGCTCTGAAGAAGGCGATACTGCCGGAACGTCAGCTAGCGTTGTATTGTATTGTGTTTTTTATGGAAGTAAATGTATGCTGTTTAGAAACCTCGCGATTGCTGAACAAGAAAACGACACAATCACTATTCCTTTTAGGTTACTGAGCTAGCACGAAATTGCTATGTAAGATCTATTCAGTTGACGTTTTGAAGCGTTCGTTTTCTTCAGAGCCGCATTAATCTTATTCGATTGTCTACAAAAAGCGACGAAACGCCAGCCGAGTAAATGTTCCACAAAAAATCTTCATGTTAGTTTAATCACCTAAAAATTGAAAGGACAGATTTTGTCTTACGGTCATAAAGATATAGATGATCTTTCTTGAGATTCGATTTTCATCGATTTGTTTTATAAGTTGAGAACTTCCCGACAACTGAGAACCGCATTCTCTTACAATTTTTAGTAGATACATGCCTATCTCACACTCGTCCGACACATTGTGAAACTTCGTTTCCTAGCGAATATAATTTTCTTTGTTCAATCGCTTCTCTGGTTGAAATACAAACCCTAGTGAGGAAAACATGCAAAGAAGTAAAACGACTGACAGAAGACCCCAATATTTCTGCTTCATCCTGGTGGAACATAAAGCTTCGTAACTTTGCTGACTGCTATTCTCTCTCACCATTGCATAAGCATACACCTTATCATCAGAAAGTTTTATCACCAAAAATAAGTTCTAAGATTTACTGACACCTATATAGATCGATTACTAGCATTGCTTACTTAGAACGATACCAATAAGCTCATACACATGAAAGGATTCCGTTTCAGCAATGACAAAAAACAAAAGGAAAACGAACAGATAATTCATCAAACCGTGATATTATTTATAAAATAGATGCATTTATGCTTAACAGAAAAATTCCAGAACAATGATGCGTCCATTCTATAAACCTTAGAGAGCAATCGGTTGGGATCTTGTGGACCACAAAAAAAGACGTGACAATACCGAAAATTAAGAGAGATGCGACGTCAATAAAGAATTAGAAATTAATTCCAAATCTTCAATAAGTGGGTAGAGCGGATTAGAGCTCTGAGTAGAAAGACGAGAAGACGGAAAACGACCTGTCAGATTGAAGGACTTCAACAAGTCGAAGTCGCTGCTGTATTAAACAAACACACTATATTTGGCTTTGCAACGTTTAGATGTCCTAGGTGAAGAAAAAGGAAGAATATGTAAGAATTCAGAGTGAATGAGAACTGTAAAAACACGCCATAAACACACATTAGTCTATGGCTCAGCTTAAAATTAAAGCTGCAGAAACTGACAAACACAGCGACAATAAAGTGAATACAAACTACTGTGAAAATAAAAGAACATAGCAACATGTCCTGAATATTGAAGGGCTTCACGATGACAAGCATTAGTATTACACATGAGTACTACGCAACGGAAGGTAGATCTACAAACCACAGTGATAGCGCAACAGAAGACTAACCGCTGTCATGCTCCCTGATAATATTTAACAGAAAAAACTAAGTGTCAATCGATAAGCATGAAAGTTACGGGAAATTTGAGCCGTTATAAGGATAGTATTTAATTCGAATATCAGATATGTGAGATATTCACCGGATACAAAGAGAAAATTGCACATGGTCCTCATCAACAGATATTAACGTCTAAATAAGGAATAACAAGTGATGAGCAAATTTTCGAAATTACTAGTAAATATCCGTATATACAAAGACGAATTAATGAAGATATGGAAATTAAGTCTAAAGTGCAAGGGGCGCAAAGTACACAAAGAGAGTGAAAAAGGAACAAAAACTGAACAAAAGAAAACACCCACTGTCGAAGCTCCAACGTCTTTCTACAGTTCTCATGACGTTCTGTTCACGTATCGCTTTCACTGAAATGAAACGAACAGTGTTGTTGTTGCTGTGATATTACAACAACGGACAATACATGAACATAATTACGGTAGCATACAAATAATTACCGCCTATAATATGAAGTTCAAAAAATTTAAGCGTTTTTTCCTGTTATGAGTTGACATCTACAATTCTCTGTCCACGCGAGTGGTACCATAAACCTTATGAGATATCCTGAGTCATACAATACGAAGATATTAGCGGTGTTAATCAAAGGATATAAGGACAAAGCTCTCGGCGTTGATCAATTCTTAAGAGATCCGCCACGCATTCGACTTCATTAAGCATCGTTGGAAGCAAGTGAATGCATATCTGGCGTTGACAATGAGTCACGGTAGGCAGTCACGGCAGAATAACAGTCTTATATACTGTCTAATATCACGAGTGATAATGAGGAGTTTTTCCCCGCGGTTCATTTTCTGATTTCTGGAATTAATGCAGAACGCGTCGAGAGTTTTGCGCGATTGTATTCTTGATTCCTGTGCGAGGATCGTGACACGAACTTCAAAGTCCTCCCCGTTATGTCTCTTGGTCCTATGCGTGCCTAGCGGGATATTTGGTTTATGTTTGCCGGCTAGGTGTTCTTTTATGCAGACACAGAGGGGTCTGCCCGTTTCGCCAATGTCTTCGTCTCCGCACGCCTTACAGGAGATCAGACTCTTGAGGCGTTCTGGATTAATTCCAGAATTCCGAAAATGAACCGCAGGGAAGAATGCCTCATTATCACGCGTGATATTGGACAGTATATAAACCTGTTATTCTGATGGGAGGGGCACATCACGCTTCCATGTAAATTTTATGCGGTTGGTCTTCACGCGACATACTCAGTGGAAGACTCATAGAAAGCGGTGAGTGTGCAGAGCTGTGTTAAATTTGATTGAAATCTTGGTTTAGCGTTTTCTCTGCTTGGTTATGGAGGTGTTTGGCCGAATAGATTGCTGTCAGCTTGACCTTCTCAAGCCGTGAGAAAGGCGAAATTCGTCAAAACGTCAGCTTGTGCATAAACAAAGAAATGAAATAACACCTCGTGTTTGCTGAACAGAAGTAGAAAGAATTATTCAATCAATGCCGAAGTTAATAGAAAGTCGGACGTGGGATGCTGAGATATTTGCAAAACTCCGGACAGCAGGTTTATGCAGTGGGGAACGAACGTGCTATTGTCCTTTCCGAGGAGTAACGCGCTCACCACCACACGATGCGGGTCCTTCGTTTCGCCTGTCTCTCAGCTAGTTCTATCGATCTTTGCCATCAGCAGTCACCCGTCAGCGGGATTGATCTGGGAAGCCCAAATTGGTAACGAACCCAGTTAAGTCGAAGCTGTAGTTATAATCACAATTCTAACCTGAGTTTTGCAAATATCTCAGCATCATTGGAGTTATACTTCGCAATATACCCTGCCATTAAAAAAGAGTAGGCATTACATAATAAGCTAGAATTACATCATTGGTTTTTACGCCTACTGTGTTTAAGTAAAAAGAAAACTAAGACATTTCCATTCAGTATCATTCCCAGTTTTGGGGGTGTTCTAAATTTGAATAAGTTCCAGATTAACAGTTCAGTTATTTTCTATAAGCTTGTAGAGTTTCAGCTTATCCATTGCTCTATTAATCGAAAAATTACCGTGTTTTATAAAAAACAGCTTCGTTGCGCAAGTTGGTGTTAATGTTACTGCTAAATATAAAATGTGTTCTTATGGGAGCTAGCGATGAACCGTATAAAGAGAAACACTGGAAGAAATCCTGGATATAAAAGCACGTGGCATTGACTATCCATTCCATAGTATCGTAGAGTTGACTGAATACATATTTTGCCTATACAGTGACTTGCTGTGGCTTCCCGATGTATCGATTCAGCGTTCTCACTTCCCTAACAAGTACGGAAATGACTGCCGATATGGAAGAGATGGAAGTGATGAACAGGCTTATATGTGTATCACCGGGTGTGTTCAATCGTTGCGCTACATGAGTGTTAAGAAATACTACGAGAACGAAAATCGGAAATAACGGAAGCAAAAAAACCTCATGTGCTCAGGAAAGCGATAGTGGATATCATTTTTAAAGGAACTTTCAACTAATCTTTAAACAATAGATTTTGCAATAGGGGCTAAACTATAGCCATTCTTGTGCATCGAACATGACCATTTCATCTAAATATTACGGAGTCGAAAACTAGTAAAAATAATGTGTAAGAAAGAGCCTACATTCAAACAAGTCTGGCTTTCTTACCTGGATATCACCACACATACTCGACAATATCGTGAACTTCGTCTTCACCAAAAATGGGACCTCGCATCATATCATTAACACGATATTCCACACCAATTACATGCATATCAGGATACAAATCGGCCCATTCATCTCCAATTGCACCATGTTCGTCTTTAAGGTGCTTGTACACCTTCGATTCAACTTCGCTCTAGAAAATAAACGACTCCTCTCCAGAAAACGAGTAAGTTCGAAGGTAAACTACATAATACTGTACACTTTTGACACTTGATAAAAGTTAAAATTTGTATAAAAACACTGATAACAGGCTCTACTAGCCTTGTAGTATTGAAAGAATTGTAAGCAGTATAAATAGTACGAACAGTACCTATTGATGATTTATTCAACTCATTCGACACAACGCCCAATTTTTTGTCGTGCGCGCTACGAATGCTACACAATTCCTATATAACCTTCACCTCCTACTCTACCCCCACATGAAGGAAAATAAACCCACCTCTTTTATGTATTTCTCTTTCATTGCTACGGAGTTTTGCATTCTACGTACCCTCCTACTATGTTCTAATAGATGTTTTCCATGTTTTGGAACTTTTGGAACCACCGCTCTTTTGTGTGACAAAAGAAAAAACTCGTCCAACATCCAACCTTGACGATATCGACTTTCGGAAATCTGTTTCGCAATATATACTCGATATACTTCGGCACTTTTATACACACCCATGGCATAAACTACGACTCATCACAAGTACTGCTGCTCATGAAAATAAAACTCTATAGGCTTAAACTATGCCGGATGAAAATGAACTTAGCTTCACCTTCCACGCACTACTCATCTAGCGTGAACAAGAAAACCCTGAATACACAAATGGAAATGGGGAATCCCTCCGCTCCTTGAAGAGTGCGCAGAAAGTGAATCGGAAGATATGGACAAAGGTGGTCACGATGAAATCAGAGAGCGAGTGGCAGAAATAAGGACATGTCAATAAAATTAGTTCATATCTTCTCGTGATTCTCGTTTTGGACCATGAAGTTTGTCTAAATTCAGCACGACGACGTTGTCTATACACCTCAGAAATAACTGTGACCGTTAACAACTTCGAACCATCATATTTTAGCTTACGGTGAACTTAATTAATTTAAGAAATTGCGGTAGAATCCAATGATATTTCCCAGCGACATAATGCTTTTCATATTCTACGGCGATAAAGTGCAATAAAGTCCTTTAAGTCGATTTTCCCAGCCCGAAAACAGCTCTTCGCTAAGATTTGTAGCCAAAATATTTCTCTTTCTTCGTCGAGACTTCTACTTCGAATATCGAAACAATCGAAGAAGTAGGATTTCATCAGACAACACACTGGTTTCCCTCAATGCGCCGTCGGTGTTTCGAGTCCCACATCTGCGTTGAAAATACCAAAAGTCAAATTTCGGTTTTAAAATTCCGAGATTTTTAATCCACATATATTTATGGCTGAAAAGAAGTTCTATAGAAGTTACATATTCCCTTAACGTGACAGAGAAAAATTTCTCATATAAAATTGTGAAGTGATGTATTACTCAAGTCTCTAGTGACCTTGAAATTACCGTCAACAGTGCCAAAAATACCATTGGGCGTCATCTATTAACTAAGCCGCTTAAAAAGTGGCAAAATTTCTGAATAATAGTATATTTCTAGAAAAGAGATTACTAGTAACCCACCTTGAAACCACATAACCAACAGAAATGAATATTGCACACGGTACAGCACATATGATTACATCCTCCGTTTTTTTGAAGCACTGCTCCACAACCTACTGTCGGACAGTCACGAACTGTCCCTACGTGTGCGTTCTTGTACACTTGTATAGATGCCTCATGATCGGCTGAAGCATGCATATGGACTATATCCTGCACGTTAATTCAAGCAAAATCATTCCTAAGTAACTGAGAAGTTTGAAATTACTATTAAAAATAGAAGTTATTTTTTTCAATTTTATTTTATACGACCGTCTTTACATTTACTGTGCGAACCCCAGCGCTTCCCACATTTGATTCGATTCCTTGCATCCATCATCCACTAAGTTCCTCCAACTTTTACATGTGGCTTCTATTTTGAGGATTTTCACTTCATCTTCAATGTCATAGAATGCTGGTCGAGCAGATTCTCTCTGCAGTACTGGTATAGCCAAGCTACAGTGCTTCCACTTGGACTACAGAGAATGAACCTTCCCAGACAAGGCCGGTACCAATTTCCCGACCCGGATGGATGAGAGGCTTGGTAAGCATAGAGTGGCATCGAACCAGCACTGTGTTCGTGAAAACCGGCACTACTACCATTGTGATATCCTCCTCATAACAAAGACTAAACAACAAATAAAGTAGCCATTTGATCGTAGCGTGCCTACTAATTTTATAACCCCTCACTTGGAAGAAATTCGCTGGTTCAGACTCGAAAAAATGATGAGCTTAATTTTGCAGGACAGCATCATTAGTGAAGGAAGTTCCGTGCGTAGTGTTGAAATGAGCACGGAAGCGAGTGTAATTTCATGGCGCAAAGTCGAAAAACTAAAGCGGATCTGGACTAAATTCTAAGCCGAATTTCCGCAATTATGGCAATGTTTGCAGGTGTAGTGTTCTTTTCTCGATCACTGTTCTTCAATAGCTGCTTCAAAACGATGAAACTGTCGATAGTAAAGTTTGGCACTGATAGTCTAGTTCTTCGATAGAACAGCGATGACACATGTCCATAAACCATTCTTGAAACAGGGAAACCGTTTCTGAACGGTTCTTTCCCCATTTCCGTCGAATAAACCCCAAACGCTTTTGACGTCCTCCGCTAGTTTAGGTTTCCGACTAGACTTGAAGAAAAGAATATCCCGACAACTTCCGCTTCCTTCCAATTAGAAACAAGATAGTTTTTCATTTGAGGTTAAGACAGCCTTTAGTCAAACGAAGAGGTTTAAGACATATTCGATACGGTGAAAAAGGACTGCTGAATGATATAAAACACATATGCTTAAGGAACCATTTTTAAATTAAACTTTCTTAACAAGTAGAAAACGCGATGAGATCAAAATCACTTACATCGAAGCATTGCGTGAACCTCACACGAGACACCTTCATGCGGTTCCATCATGCACTTATCGCATACATCACGTCCACAACAATCACATCTCATAGTGCTAGGGGTATCACTGACTTCTTTCTTCTAGGCAGAAAAGTATCAGATTATTGGATACAAACGAAAAAAAACGTATTTGACGGTAAACCTATCAAGGTATGAACTCTGATTCTGACTTCTCAGTTGGAACAAGACGACCATCTTTCTTCTTAAAGAATGTCACTGTCATTGTTTCCGAATAATTTAGTTTCCCGTCATAAGAAAACTATGGGATGAAGAAACCTCATTTTCTGAGACATGAAAAAATGTCACCAATTCAATACGTCAAAATATCGAAAAGATTCTGCGAATACTTGAAATTCAACGTATTCGGGCAATGTCCATTCCCGTAAAGCCCTCAACTAGTTAGGTATTAGAATTATACGGCGAGAATTCCCGGCAGATTTCAAAAAACCTGCTCTCTTATGCATGAGCTAGATAGACCACGAATGTTTAAAAAAAACGGCACTAACCGTAAAGATTCCGAAACAATCCGGTGACGGACAGCGAATTAGTGACTTGTTGGCTCGTAACAAACAGTCAATAGAACTTTCTAATAAGGGACGAATCTTTCTCTCATTCAACCATGGCAACCGAGCATCACCCAAGACAAGGCGCTTAAAAAACAAAGTGATTAAAAATGAAAAACTAAGTGCTTCATAAGCGTTATTTATCCCCTAGTCATAATTCGATATAGAATGTTACCATGTCACACTACTGCGAATTATTAAACAACTTTTACAGACTTTGTACACTTATTAATCCTCACTCTAATTAGTGAATATCAGTCACTTTATGTGACCAGGTAAAAAACTTGAGAGCTCTAACTATCACAACGATGGCGTATCACACCTCTACCGCTGATGGCAACAAACAACAATACCTAAGATTAGTAATTTAAAAAAGCAATTACGTAGGGATACTTGGGTGGTGAAGTGGGTGAAATATGAGCCCTCGCAAAGGGTAGTTCGAGTCTGCAGCTTCCTTGTGGTTCCAGTTTTGTAAATATCCCAGCATCATTGTGGTTGTAATTCACATAATACCCTATCATGAAACAAATAATAGACAATAAATAAAATGTTGAACATTGTGGTTTAGATTGTAGCCTCAGATTAACAGAGTTCATTGCCTACTTGTGCGCGCTAGGTCATTCCCGTTGACCGCTGATTTCTGTTGGCACCGTTAGGATAAAAAACTGGCTGAGAGAAAGGCAAAAAAGGACTTCGCTGGTGCAATGGGTGACACGTGAGCCTCTGAAAGGGTAACTACGGGTCCGAAGTTAGTCTGGGGTTCGAGTTTCGCAAATATCTCAGAATTATTGTGGTTGTAATACACATAATAACCTGCCATGAAAATAACAACAGGCAGTAAATAGAAGGTCGAAGGTTATATAAAGATGATAAGGAACCTTGATATCACTGATGGCAAACGGTATACCACAGTCTTTATCAGCACAGCATAGTGGCAACAACCTACTTTTTGTAACAGTTTTTATCTGAAAAATTTTTCTGCACTATAAAGATAACAAAAAAGAACTAAAACAATTTCCCTAGAGCAACACTGTTTGAAATGCGGATGAGACAGTGGAAAAAAATTGAAAAGAAAGTCACCTGATGAATAAGACATTTCAAGCAATAATAATGGCCACACTCTAAGCAATAATATGAGTTGCTGACTGGTGACTGGCAAACTGGACAATTCGGTTTCGAAGAAACATATTCTTTAGAGATCGATGGAATCAACTAGAATTTATGCTATTAGTTCCACGATTACCCAAATTAACCTTATAACGTTATAGGTAAAGCAACACTGCTACTTTTTCTGGTAATTTTGAGAATAACGCAACACTGATATTTTTTTCTGGAAATTTTGAGGAATTCAGTAGATCGAAGTATGAAAAACAATGAAATATTAGCATACCCTTTCATCAATCTCGTCCAGATAATTCCTAAGCAAATCATACTGCTGAAGCGTTCCAGTGAAGGTAATACTAACAAAGTCCAACCGTTTCAGCTCTGCTCCTCCACAGATTTCCCTACGAATGGAAAACAGGATTGGAAAGCAAGATAACAAAAGCCGAAGAAATGGAAGAATAAGCTCTCTTTAAGCTAATATAATCACATGACTTCAAAGAATATCACCTAAGTTCACCAATTCCCACAACGTCAAGAACCTTCGACATGAAATTCGGGTAACGAGGCGGTGCGATTTCAATTCTTTGAGTAATTGTGAATGCATGGCTAAAAAGTTTATTTCCTTGCATCCAGTACATTTTAAACGATCTCATGTTGTAAGAATAAAAATGAAACATAAGATACACATAAAATTGTACTCTAAGTAGATTTCACAATTTTAATCCAATTGCAGAGAATATTTTTCGCAAAATATTCTCTATGTTTACTTTAAAATCTCTTGTATAAATCACGTAACCGTGTTCATTATCCAAGTCATTGCACTGTCGTGTAAATATTACGTGTATAAATGGTTTAATTACCTGAGTCTGAGGTGTGGCATATCGTTTTCTAAATCATGGAGACCCACCCGTCGTCTTCGCACACCACTCACCTGTTCTTTGCAAAATATCTGAACTTCATCCTGGCCAGGTCTGCATCTTCTCCAACGAGAGTTATGCGTTCTCCTAGCAAATCCATATCGATTACTACACGTCCTCGTAATTCTTTTCGAACGTGCTCAACGTATCTTGCACCATACCTGAATGGTCTCAAATTCAAACGGAACTGTGAGAAAGCCGTAAAGGAAATCATTCAGGATCAACATATTCCTGCCGAAAACTTTGCTAAAAATGTGCTAAGCTGAGTTTCCAGTAAGAAAGAAATCAAGATAGCTTGATGTATTAAATCGAGAACTAAAAGCAACGAATTTCTTTTTAAAAAAACTACGTATGTGAAGCATTCCTTATTTTTTAAAACGTAATCGACCTTAAAGATCCGGTTTAATCACATCCTGAAAACAAATATCGTCATGAGACGAAACCACAACGATGTACAACAAGAATATCTTTTTAAAACATTGTTTCGTTGACGGTTAAACAGGACACAATCAGCTGGTTTCTGAAAAATTTCAAAATTGTACCCAGTGCGCCCTAGTTCTCAAGCTCATAGCACTTTCTCCAAATATTTTGCAAAGGACTTGCTTGAGAACAGAACAGAACGGAAGCTGGATTCTACTACTGCATAGTACACAAATATTAACTGGTAAAGGAAAAATTTCAGCTATGGAAGGTCTACAACACTATGGGAATGATAGCGGGGAAGAATCAGTTATGCGGTGTTTTCGAGACGCTAATGTTTTCTTAATAGACTTCCTGAACGCATGTAGGATTTATAGCTCTCGTTTTGACATGGAATCAACCCTTAACAGAAGTGCGCCGCTTGGCAGAAATACGAGCAATTTCTCGCCGGCTGCCAGCATTCTGGTTTTCTAACAACAAAGGGTAATTTTTTAATAACTACAGAGCTGTAGTGGTTATGAATATGACAGCTTTGAAAAACAGAATTTACTCCATCGTTCTGTAGGTACGAATGATATGTATGTTAGTATTTACAATGTGTGTTACCATGGGCCATTATGCTAGTACATTGCTATGAGCATTTTCTTGGGAAGTATTTCCCTCTCTATGTTGATTATAAGGGAGCATGTGGAGCAGTAGTTGGAGGCGGCCTGCAACACACACGTGGAATCTATCCCCGCGCCCGTAGCCCACCAAGCCCTTCATCCCTCCGGGGTATGCAAATAGGTACCAGACTTGTCTGGGAGGATAGCAGCATTGGCTCGATAGGCCACTGCGAGTCATTGTAAAGCCCAGATATGCATTCAATCACCTCCAAAAGATGCTTAATGAAGTAGAATGCATGATGCATCGCTCAGAGATTGATCCACTACGAGAGCTTTACCGTTTTTTTTAGTTTTATGTTGATTACATCCGATCTTAATCCCTGCGCCAGCACATTTCATAAGTGAGTACAGTGACTAAAATGAAATAACGGCTAGTTGTTAATCAAATGAACGGTCAACGAACTTTTCCGAAAGAAAGTTTTTTAATAAATTACTAATTGAAGAGAATGGTTCCTCTCGTTCCACCTCGCTTATGTCGATCTCCTTTAGATTAATATACAATGAATATATATATATATATGCATATATATATATATATAGTACGGTGTAAAAAATTGAGGAAAGCACTAATCTGTAAACAGAAACTATACTGTGCAGAGTATCCCTTAGTCCAAACGCTTGAGGATACTCTTGTGTCCATAGCGTCCGTTATGGAATTGTAACAGCTGAAGAGTTCTATGTCAATCTTCCACGTTCAACGAGCAAAATGTATATCCTAGTGTCCTTCCTGAAGAAGAACAACGGTTTCCATCCACTATAATTCAAGCTTCGACCCGAAAAACGGCATACTTCAAGGATACAATAAAACGACTTGTTTCCCGAAGGATGCATAACCACTTGAACCAATAAGAAGAGCTTGATACCGATCCTCTGAGAACTACGCATATATCGCCACAGCCCTTGCCGAAGAGAGAAAAAAAAACCGTTAAAAGCGTCGAAATGAACGCTATCCTATCGGTATTAATGGAGTAGGTTACTAACGTACAAAAATTTTAGTAATTGCAACGATAACAGGACAAATTTTCGTGCTCCCGCCATTTCCACCACATGAAAACGGCTCCGCCAAAACCATTTCATCGTGCCTAAACTGTTCATATTCACAATGAACAAGAAAACAAAAGTACTAAATTTACGTTCAGCAACGTCTACGATGTCAGTGAAAATAACCCTATATGAACCCCTAATCCCAACTATTTCTAGGATATATCATAACTATTTCGAGAAGTCAGGCAAAAATGTTTAAACAGTCAACGTCCAAATTGCATTTCCATTTTTCTTGCACAAGTTTTAGCAACACTTTTTTTCTCGAATGCTGAACTATTACATATCACTAGGTAGTTCATTTTGTGGATTTTCGCTCCATGTAATCGAATCACTCTGTAAAATGTAATTTTGGTAAACTTTGGAAGCAAGAATTTCGCATGTAAACACAGCAATGTGATAAAATCTACTTTCATGAATTCCTGGGATGTACGCAAGCCAAAACGCTGGAAACATTAATGAGATATGGAGCAAAGAAGTGTTCATTAATACGCAGTGCAACTTAGTTTGAAAAATTCGTTCTGGTAATTAGACCTTGCAAATGAGCTAAATCGTGGACGTTTTTCTGTTACTAAAACAGTTAGTTTAAGCCTTTGGAAAAAGCAAATACATGCACAAATGTTCAAGAAACTCTAAAAAACTTGGTGTAAGCAAATTAACTGTTTGGGAGCATTTACATGAAACTAGGAGGCCGAAGAAGCTCGATAAATGGATGGAACACGACTTGAATGATAATGAAATAAATCGCCGTTTTAAGGAATAGTTGGCGTTCCCTCTGTACAACCAGAACGACGTGTTTCTGAATCGTAATGTGAGGCACGACGAGAAGTGGAGTCGCACTGTCGACGGTGCAAAGGTTGAACGACCCAGGCGACCAAACACTACCTCAACCACCATATTCGCTAGACCTCTTGCACACCGACTACTATTTCTTCAAGTATTTCGGCAACTTCTTACGCTTCTTCCATGAAATATTCAGCCGAATTTCCCCAAATGCAGGTGTTACAAACATTCCGGTACGATGTCAAAACAAGATATTCGCTCAAATACGGAAATAAACACACCCATATAGAAGTCTTCCATTTATAGCATCACTGCAGTCAATATATGATCCGTGAAACATCGACAAAAGACGAGTTGCCACTTCTTCGACGTGTCTGAAAAGACGTATTTAACATCACATAATAACGCAAGTGACTTCAACATAGGAACTTCTGGAAGTGGAGAATTTTAGACCAACATAATGGCAATATAACTAGCAGTAATCTTAGATAAAAACCACTATTCTACAATTTGTGGGAAGAAATTTGTCACTTAAGTGCATAAAACTCTATCAATGAAATCCAAAAAAACTATTAGGAACTATTAAACTATTAGGAGAAGCGTACTGAACAGGCCATCCTTGGACACTGATTTCTCCCTCGCTGGTGTCAACGTCATCTGAAGCGTCATAACATGCCGTCCATGTCCTGTCTACAATCTCCAACGAATTTAGAACACTCCTGGACGCACGGGCTACCATAGATTGTTCGTTATTCAGGCGCCTATCAAAAGTCGTTCTCATCGATAGTACGTAACGAAAAACTGTGGAATCTCAACAGAACACAAAGGGCTCAGATTCTCAAAAGGTTAAGAAATACCTTATGAATTTGTCACATGCGACCCGTACTTCTTTAGTTATATTAAGAGACACACAGTAAATGGGCTTCACAAAGATCTGCAAAGCAAAATTCTAAAAATCCTTTCGATAAACACTCAAAGCTCTTTGCTGTCAAAGTGTTGTCAAAATCCCAGTACCGTTTTTCCCGTAGCCTTGGCAATGACCAGTAAAACAGCATCTTCATCTTGAGCAGATTCAAAATTGTTAATAAAAGCGTTATTCAACACTGCCCAACGTTTGAGAAGGACATACCCAACTCTCGTAAACTCTCTAGGGCTAGTTTCAAACCACAACTGTGAGATTTATAAAGAACAGGACAGCTTTGAAGACGAAACCGGCGAAACGTCAGACAATGTCGGATAAAGCTTTTCTTAGCAATCCTGTGTTGGTACAAAATGAAGATATCAACTTTTTAAAATTACGTTTAAAAGGTAAAAGAAGAAAGCGAACAGAACAAGAAGTACTCTTTGAGGCGGATCATCAATTCCATCCCAAATTTCCAGACCCTGTTGCTTATCTACCAAAGTGTGAAACATTCGCAATCCACATTCTGTATCCTGGAACGTTAATTCGGCCTCTCCGACAGAGCTGGTCGTCTCACAGTCACCGTTTTTCTCATCGTCAAGAAGTTTCCATTGCCAAGGAAGATTTTCACTCAATAACTGAAAATTTCGTGCACAATTTTGCCTTACTAACAATGCGAGGTTGATGAGAGAGATGAAGAATGAGATTCCACGAAAAGCATGTGAACCTGCCGCCAATCTTGAGGAGTAACAGGGTATTGCCTATGCCATTCATGGTTGTGTATCAACTCCGAGATTATTGATCGAAATAATTGTGTCCTGGCTAACTCCTCGATACTGAAAATTGAATATTTATACAATACAAACATGAAGGAAAAAGCAAAAAGTTCCATTAGCTCGTCAACCACCTTAAGGTAGGTACAGAAAAAATCAAAAAAAAACCCATAGCTCATCAACCGCATTAAGGTAGCTATACCACCTCATTCGTGTTCAATGTGTAAATGTCCAAGACACTGTACTTCAGCCTACACGGCATCAGAGAAGCCATGGATTGTTTGGATTAGCTGTTTAGAGGTCAAAATTTAACGCTTCGTAGATGAACGCCTATCAATCAAACCTGCGGCGAAAACTTGACGAATGGATTACACTGCTACTGCTTTAACGAGTAAATGCGCTACTGCACAGCGCTATGCGCACCCAGGCCAAATCAACATTTAGAAATTAAAGAGAGATTAAAGTAAAAAACTACGTACTTCTCTAATCTCCTAGAAAATCGTTTCAAATACGCACGCTTTATAGCGATGTTGTTTCTAGACAGCACTTCTTCAATATGTTCTTCAAATACTACATCATCTTGGAAGGAACGTGGAACGTACTCCAAAACGATCTAAAAAAAAGCATGGACTCGGCCGTCGGCTCTGGTGAAGATGAAGATGCCGAAACGTTAGCTGGATAAACATTTTTGTCAACTTCGTGTTAGTTTAACAGTGCAAGAAGGTATTCAACATTAGTACTGAGGATAAATGACGGTCGGTTCGAAAAATTTTGTCTTTCTAAAAAAAAGTATTTCTGAAGACCGAATTTCATTTAACCTCAGCATGAATAGCCAATAGTTTCTTATATCCATGAGTTTACATGAAATGTTACCAAAAACCCTTTCCTATGGCAAACGGTGTGGCGTCTTCATCTTTATCAGAAGAGTAATTGTTCGAATCAGATGCCAAATAGAAGCTGTTTTCTGCGATGTGGATCTTCATGATAGAATCGATTCGATTAGGTAGAACAGTCCACGTCGTACGAATGAGGTAATCTCACTCGGCAAAATCTTTTTTTTATGAAAGGGCTTTAAAGAAAGCGGGTAGAGAAACGTGAGCCACAAAAAAGGGTTTTGGTAGGCCTTTACATTGTGTAATCTTATGAGTATACAAAAATATTTAAAGAGAAGTAACAAATGTATACAAGAGGTGAAGTCGAAATTTAAGGGTTCGCCGCGGTTTCTAGTGTTATATGGTCACAAATTAATTCAGAGAATTTGTCAGTATTAGTGATCACTGCTTTGCTGAAGATATACAATGTATTTCAAATCTTGCGCTTTATGGTTACCATTATCTTGAACGCCTCCCAACGGTTTACTGCCTCATCGTGGCTGGAAGGTGTTCCTGGGTGTTGAGCTGCGATGTACAGCGGGGAATTCATCCCCTTGGCAGGGCATACCATGCTGAAAAAAGACTCCGGCGTTTCCATCAGGAACTCTACCTAAGAGTAAACCAATATCACGATACATCACCGCCCTGGTGTTAAACAGTCAGTGGCAAATCTCCCTCTGATCGATAAGAGCGGCAACTGCTTGTGATAGTGACAACCTGGGTAAAACTTTGCCCACTCTGACCTCGGGTCTCAAGGAAAACACAATGGCTAAACCAGCAAAACTTTGAAAAGTGGATAATATGCTGGGGCCCGCAGAACAAGTGGGGACAAGTCGTATGCATTTGAGAAACGTATTTAAAATTTTAAATTGACCAGGATAAGGACCGATAGTATAGCATATCACTAACATATTATGTAGACGAGTCAAGTAAGATTCGTAGAATCAAGAACCATTTACTTTAAAAAAAATCACCTTCGCACTGTTAGCATAGTCACTGTTTCTGAGGTGCAGTAAGTAACCATGATAGAACAGAACTTCCTTTGCAAATTGATAATCGCGCGGGTCTCTGAGCTGGAACAAGCATATACCATACTTACTTCCTTAATACTAAAAGTAAGCACAACTTACGATCACAATTCCAGTGTATTTGAATGAATGCTTAAGCCACATTACACGATATGTCATCCTTCCATTTTTCACACTATTCCACGCTTTATCACCGACAATGAACGCACGAGGAAATAGCTGAAGCGGAGGAAAATTACGAACATAGTTATTCTGAATATTCCATGTAAAACTGCCAAAATATGGTGTGAAGTGCAGATACAGAGACATTTCTTTAAGTACTTTTACCACCAACAGACTTCATTTACGTGATGAAACTCCAAAGAGCATGAAGAATCGCCACCCACTTGCATATTTTAAAGAATAGAAGACGTGAAAAACTGTGCCAAACATTTGCGCGCTCATCCGCTAATATTAGAAACATTCGATTTCTTAACCGAGCATCTTGCGATGGAAACCAAGAAGATAAAATTCGTAGTAGGAATAACCGAAGTGGAAAAACTGACAGTCAAAAGCCTTCCATGATACTGGAAATGAAACATGAGGTGACATTCTAGTGAACAGCTTGTAGTGCAGTGATCGGAGGCGTCCTGCAATATACATGGGACCGATCCGCGCTCCAGGCGCACTGAGCCCTCCGTCCTTCCGGAGTCGGTAAATTAATACCAGACGTGTCTGGGAGCATTGGGTTGAGATATCGGTAGGGCAGCACGAGTCATTGTGGAGACCAAATATGCATTCAATCTTCTCCAACGATGCGTGATAAAGTCGAGTGCATGGCGCATTCCTCAGGGGTAGATCAACACCGACAGCTTTATCGTAGTAGCTATCTTGCAAAGCTATGTACCGATTTCACTGATCAACTAACAAGCCCGATTAGACTTTTACACTTGAAACGAAGTAGAGCAATTCTGGCTTTGGCACTTTTATTGTCTACCGCAAAACAATAATTTCAGGAAGTAGAGAATTCCCTTTTGCAGAAATAGCGCGTAGAGCGATGTTCTTCAGTTCTGTTGATAATACTACTGGGAAGGATAGCACCATTCCAATTAGCCTTTCCAAATTCCAATTGAACTTCGTTTCAAACTTTCGGTACCAAGGCTAGAGAAAGGTAAAGCGTTCAGTTCTGAAATAATAAGCGCCACACATCTGAAGAATTTGTCATCTGTCTTTATCAATAGGTTCATGTTCTCATTCGTCATTTCTGGTGATGTAGGGTAAATAAACAATACTAAAAAAAGAGGTATGGAAAGGAGAAGCACATGATGCCGGCAATCTTTGCTTTCCAATGTCTGTTCTTTAAAAGCGCTATTACCGTGATACTCATAAAAGAACTGAGTAAGCTTAGCAATACGAGCAAGCGCGGTTTAGAGGAAGACCCACTGTTTCTGTCCGCATCGGTAGGTTGACGGAAATCCACGAAATATTTCGAAAATACGAAACTACATTATTCCCCACTTTTCCTGACTTAATGAAGAATTCTGCTCATGTTAAGGTACCAACAGTTGTGGAAGAAAAACTACGACAATACAAATGAAAGCTGCAAATCAGTGCCAAACTGCAGCATTCCTAATTCGAAAGAGCGATTTTCAATTAACCTAGGCATTAACAATCACGTTACTTTGTCCTCACGGGTTGCCATTGATAAATTAGAAAAGGTTGTTAGTATGTACTTTTGATTTTCGATGGCTAAGATCTAACTTCCTTACAGCATGGATTGCTATACAGTGTTATTAAGTTAATATTCATATTGACGAATAATGTAAAAATGAAGAGAATTCAAACCTTAACCTGCTAAAAAGCACTCAAAGCATTACTTTCCAAAGAGGCCGCCTGGATGTTCCTTACGTAAAATAATTGGATAATAAATGAAAGTCAAATTGAAAAAAAATCGTTTCACGTATGACAGTGAGGCACTCGTCCTTTCGATTCATTTCTGCATCTTTAAAATTTAAGCAGAACTCCCAAGTCCGACTTTAAGCAGAACGTTTCGATTTTCATGCGATGACGTGCTAAGAACGATAGAAAAAAAAATAAAGCTCTTGGCGTTGACCAATCGTGATAGATGCGTTATGCATTCGACTCCAATAAGCACCGTTGGAGGTGACTAAATCTGGCCTTAACAATAGCTCGCGGTGGCCTAGCGATGTATCGAGATAGTGCTCCTATCCTTCCAGATAAACCTGGTACCAATTTGCTAACATCGGAAGGATGACAGGCTTGGTAAGCTTTGGGCGCTGGTGTCGATCCCACGTGTATTGCAAGGCGCCTACGACCACTGTGCTACAGGTCTCCACTAGCAACGAACCAACAACAAAAAAATACTAATTCTCTATCTTATCATCCATCAACCATCATCATTTCTTGTCTTCTCATTGTTCACCCACAGAAAAGACACTATAACAGGCAGTTACCAAACAGTTAGAAAGTGTGCACGGAAGAGTAGAGGAAGGACAAGTAGCCATCTTCGATGCCTCCGACACAGCAGGCACTTAGGTTAGTTCTAAGGAAAAAGCCATAAGAGGCAAAACAATATTTCTCACCTATAAAAGATACTTTTCAAACTACCTTCTCTGTTCAGGAAAATAAGTCCCGCTATTAAAAGATGTCAAAACAATGGTACAGAGAGTTCTAAGATGGTCATTGAACAACCACCAAGCACTTCGAATTGTCAGTTGCTTCGAAATAGCATGTATAACTGTTCACTTATAATACAAAATTGCACGATTGAGCCAAATAGTAAACAATGGAACTGCATTAGTTAAATACAATATACGTGATGCCGTGACTTCGGCGTTTCTTCATTAAAACTGCAGAATATCTATGTTGTGTAATTATGTGGCCAGAGTATGAAGAGAGCGAAACACTAGGCATCGAAAATCAAAAATGCGTGTTGAACACCTTGTGTCAGCTCATTAAGGGCAGTTCGCAAGAACGAAATAACTATAGCCTCCTTACCCATGGCGGGCGGATAGCACAGTGGTTGTGATTCGACCATCACGAGCATGGTGTCATTTCGATTACTCTGCGGGTCAACCATGTCTCTCAACCCTCCGGGGTCGAAAAATTGGTACTCGAATTGTCCGGGAAAAATCACTATCTGCAATCCAGCTGGGAACGCTCCACCCCAGCTATTTCAGAACCCCAGGGAGAACCGACTCAATCAGCTTCTACATTCGAGACGAAATGAGAAATCCTCAAGTACTGGTAGAAGCCATACGTAACGTAAGAGTTGAAAGATCTTCGTGGATAACGGATGCGAGGAAAGAAATCGAATGTGAGAAATGCTGGGATCCGCACAGTAGATGTGAAGATGGGTCATATGAAAATAAAAAAAATCCTTACTCTCTATATAACTAAACGAATTTCCGTGCGGAAATTGAAACTGTACAAAATTAATCGACTGTTAACAAGAACATCTACTTCGCCTTGCACGTAACCTCGTCCAGCGTCCAATAAACGTGAATGGATGACAGGAAGCATTTGCCACACATCACGAATACTGGCCGATTTTGGTTACCCATGTTGAATTAGTGTATAGGTAAAAGAAATAAATCTATAGAGATTAATAAAGGATAAAAGGATAAAGCAATCAGAGTTAATCAATTCCTGGGGAATGGTCCATGAGTTCGATCTCATCAAGCATAGTAAATGTGACGAAATAAATATTGTGGTCTATATAATGGCTTGCAGTGGACTACGGATGTTCCAACTCAGTATTTTATCGCCCCAGACAAGTCTAGTACGAACTTGTCTCCAACAGAGAGAGGTTTAGACAGTACTCGCCCCAGGATTGCATCAAAGACTACATGTTTATTGCAGAACATCTTTAAGCATTACGATACGCACCCAATGAGGCAAGGATAGATTTATAGTTTCTCATGAATGTTACTTAACGAAACGGATATCTCCGAATGTTACAACTACGCAAAGGAAGTTTAAAGCGTTAACAGCATATACGTTTAGTGATGATCAAATTTCGTCGTGGAAATCCTAAGCGAAAACGTGACGTTGCTTCCCAAGCAATAAATTTGGGCAATTGATAGGGACGAATGGAAGCTGCTCTTTCATCGCCAATAATCAGTCAATGACTGAACAACATGTGAAACATGCAGTACTACAACCACCGATGTGTTGAATCATAATTGCTTAAAGCGTTCCAGTATTTTAGTACATAAGTACTTAAATGTGTAAAATACCTAAACTATAAATAGAAGCAAACCCGAGCCACACGATGATCCTTGTCCTTCAAGGCTTCACAGCAATCGGCCCATGAAGAAAAATAGACACGAACAGCGTCCGCGAATATTTCAGCTTTACTCCTATCCAAATACTTAGAGAGTTTGGCACGTTCACTGGTACTTAAACGGACGGCCTGAATTATGTTTGTCACCGATGATATCGCTGTGGTGCTTCTAAAACGACGGAGATTGTCTTGCACTCGGTCTACGAACTATATCAGAAAGAGTAAACAAGCCGATTATCTAAACTTACTACACGGAAATGAATACGGGGGAGGGAGGGAGGGAGAATGGTGGGGAGCACGATCCCCACTTATTTTCAAGAAATAAGATACAAACAACGGAACATAACTATGTAAAAATGGCAATTTATTTTACAGGCCAGTGGACACTAATGTGCCATGAAAAAGTAATGTTGACCTTCAGAAATCATCTTACAAAACAGATTAGCGAGTTTTCCAGAACAAAAGAACCCATCTATCATAATCCTATAAACAGGACGACAGTGTATAAACGAAGCAACAAACACGAATTGTGATCAACTCACGTGGGCCGCCCGAGGGAAATACCACTTCACGTAGTCCTCCAGATCTTGATCCACTGCGATATTAACAAGTATTGAATGCGCTCTATCCTGCCATAAAATCTCACATGACCCTCCATCTCCTATGGCGATATGAAAATAAAAATATATTATTGATCATGGTTATGATATCTGTGCCAGTTAACCTATGATTTTTTCAAGAACAATTTCCTTCTGCTTTAAAGTATGCTTGTAACCAGGTCTATCAGCATATTCAGAATTTAGATAGCAATACACCGTTTTTTGATTGTAGATTAGGTCTCGTAGCCTTTAATAAAAAGATTCCCATATTTCAATTTTGTGAACTTTCGAAACGTGGATGGAAGAGTTGACGTCGGTTTTTATTCCTTCTTGTCCGTCCTTCCTTTAAATAGCGAAGTAAAGCATCCGTAATTATGAAAACCTTAAGGACCTCCAGTTATTTTCGAACAAATGTCCGGGATCTTTTCGACAATATAAGAAGCTCTCAACACATAATAAAAATTTTTCAGGATAATCTAGTAATAGCTAGCATAGTTTTATGCCAGGCCAACTCAAATATCGATAAAAATTGCTTGGCGCGTAGATATCAGAAATTCTTCAGCTTCAGCTTACTACTACAACGAATCAATCCTTTGCAAGAATGATTGATCGGGTCCACATCAATATATCAATAAAAGCCTAATGTTGAGTAGATTATAGCTTGTTCGACATGTACGTTGATTTCAAGGGATATGTAGCGATGATATAGACTGAATGGTAAGAATTGATCTTTACTTATTCGCCACCAGAAAGATTTACACCTTCCAACTTCACGACAGCACCTTTCAGCTCAAATTAAATTACGCCATTTGAAAAATAATCCACTAGAATCTACAGATCTTCGCCATCAAGCAATAAATCTTCTTGCAACATAGAGACAAAATTCTGATTATTTAGAGCCCACACGACGAGTAGTTTCTCCGCTTTTCTTCATCTGGTGCTTGTATTTTGAACCAGAAAGTGATTGAACGATTTCAATAAATTCAACAGGGGGTAAAAATGTCCAACTTTTAAGATCTCTACTTCACTATTCTTAAACATATTCATGGCAACACAACACTATAGGTGGTTATGATACGGGTGCATATGTAAATCTTTTTTAGTGAGCGCAGTGAACAAGTTAATTCATTTGAAATTCTCTTCCATACGTAGGTCACATTGGCATATCCCCGCTAAATTTAACTCTAGAAAAAAACCTTCAATCACACAAATGTAAGCCCACTTTTTAGAAAATAGCAACACACTTCCGACACTTACCATAACATAGGTGGCAAACTGTGACTTTTCTGGCACACAACAACCTCTGCATATATATGTGTATATATACATATATACATATATGTATACATATGTACAGATACATATACATATTTACATGTATGTATGGGAATGAATTTATAAATCGAAGAAACCTACTGCATGAGGTGAATCTGGTATCGCAACTTCAAGCTTTGAACTCAGTTGTGGATCGAGAAACATCGACATCAGAACATCACGAAGAGCAGACGATTCCTTTGCGTAGTTCATGTCGGGATAAAACACCTTCACGCAAAGTGAATAGATGAGAAGCCGCAGAAGGAAAATTGCACTTATATTTTCTAGTATGTACAACATATTCTTAAGACAAGGTTACAAAATACGTCTTCGATTGTTTGGAGTAACTTAAAAAAATCTGAATAAGATTGCACTAACATTCTTATGTTTATTCTTTAACCTCAACAACATCTACGCATTCAAATTTAGGCGAAAAATTTCCTACACTCACGGAACACTGATGGAAGACGTCACTATCAGAGGATGTTACTTCGGCACGAGCAAAAACGTCCGAATCATGGACCTTGAAAACAGAGTTAGTGTCAAAACTTGTCTCTTCTAGGGATGAAAACAGATGAATTCTCAACATTTTAGCTATATGAATAGTCAAAAACAAGAAAATTCTTGCGATATTTAGGCGGAAAGGACAAACATCAGGATCATACATCCGCCCGTACCAATCAAATAATAAGCAATTCCATTAGTGACAATGAAGAATAGTGTTGGAGAATAAAGTCCTTCATGAATGGAAGGTACAAATACAATTTACTTTTGAACTGTATCAGGATGTCAGCACACGGCTGACAAGAAACTACAACAGTCACCATACTGCAAAGGTGTTGCTTGATACTTGAATGGCCCGTCTTCACTGGTTTTGCGAGTTCCAGCATAATTTCCATATTTCGGAGTTTTGCTGGCTTAGCCACTGTGGTTCTCTGGAGACCAGAGCTCAGCCAAGGCAAAGTCGGCCCCAGGTTGTCACCACCACTGGCAGTCGCGGCCCTTGTAGATCAGAGGATTCGCCACCATGCGATTAGTTTGATCCCAGGATAGTGGTGGATCCTAGCAATGGTTTACTCTTAGTTGGGCTTCCTGATGCAAATGCCGGACTCCTTCTCAGCCTGGGAGACCCCACCGGTGGAACGAATGCCCGCTGTATAACCCCAAGCCCTTTAGACTGCTCAGCTGTAAGAAAAAAACTAGTTGAGCTCCGTTATTAACAACCTAATAGTTTCGAAAAGACAGCGATCTAATATAAGAGAAAGAGCTTACCTGGTAAGAACCATCGCCGTAGATTTTATTTTTCCGTATATGATGAACTAAACGACGACGTATAGTTGGAGCTAGTACTATATCAGACACCAATCTTTGATTTCTCATCTGAAAGCACCACAAAAAACACTTTGGAGAAAACAAAAAAGAAATATGCCCAATTAAACATTACCTACCCTAAGTTCGTAAATCACCTCAGGATCCTCCAGTATTTCCTTCCACTTCACACTTTTGCCATTTCTGAATGGTGTTTCAAATGGTTTTACTTCGTCGCAGACTAAACGCTTAGGAATCTCCGATGGATAGCACATACGATATGGAGTGTCCTCATTAGCCTATAGAATAAACTCTATGGTTACGAAGGTGCAGAACGAAAAACAGAATTAGAAAACTTAAAAATGGAAAGAGTGATCCAGATAGCAACACACTCACTTCAATCAATTTCGTCCTCTTTAAATCCTTTATATATAGACCATTGATTTTACCAACTTTAGACCGCATTCGTTCTGCTGTTCCTATATCTTTAGCCACTGATGCTGGCACAATCTCGTCATCTACAGGACTCTGAGGATTGAAGAACTGAGACACCAAAGCCTGTGTATGTCATGAAATTCGATACGCCAACTGTAATTTAATCTGGGAATTTACTAAGTAACTTTAGAGACTGATCGATGCCTATCAATAAAAATTCCACAAAGATTACAGATTAGACTATTAGATTTACCCACAAGTTAAAAGTTGAAGAAAAGAAGAAAAAAACCACAATAAAACGCACTATTTCGTCTTGCGATCCTTCTTCATCCCAAACATCACTGCGGTCCCCACGATATGGCATAGCGCCATACTAAAAACACAAACAGATAGAACACTGACATATAAAATCAATAACTTGTAATGGCGGTGCGTGGAAATAAGCATTTGAAACCTTCTAAGTACTCACGATTGGCTCGTTCCTTTGCACAACCCAATCCATTCCTGAAATAAGATGCAAAAGTAGAAGAATACACTAAAATGAATGAAATTTTGAGCACCACTCAAAATTTTTTGTACCTTCCGCGTCCAATCGTTACCTAAATTTTCACCCCACACGTTGTGAATTGAACTCAACGCACGTCGGTTGTTCCCAACCATACGTACAGGTTATGAATATCTCTTCACTACAAATAGTCTTTGTGCTATTCCATCGGTAGCTGGTAGCCGCGGGATGAAGATACATCCTAGTAGCTTGCCTTAATTGCTCCTTCATTTCTAGTATTCCCGCTATAAATGGTACCCTCGTCGGCAGCAAAAATCTTGCGACTTAGAAACAATTTCGTTGAAAAATCAGTTTTTTTGCAATATTACTGTCTTTCCAACGAGTTACTACATCATTGTGGGTAGGAGGTGTTCTTGGGTGCCGGGCTGCAATGTACAGAGGAGGGATTCGTCTCCCCAGCAAGGTCTCTCAAGCTGAGAATGAGTCCGGCGTTTCTATTAGGAAACCCAAATAAGAGAAAACCAGTACAAGGATCCACAAATGTCCTGGTATCACGCTGGTCGTATGTTGGCAAATCTCCCTCTGATCCACAAGGGCGGTGACTGCCTGTGGTGCTGACGACCTGGGGCAGACATTGGCCAGGCTGACCTCGGGACTCAAGGGAGTTGCGGTGGTTAGACGAGGAAAACTGCTGAAAAACGGAAATTATACAGGGTCCCGCACAATCAGTGAAGACGGGTTACCCAAGTAAGCAAGTATCTATAATTGAATGATCTTTAAAATTTTGCTCTCATTAAAGTTAAGATCTTATTATTTACAGTGTTTTAATTATATAAATATATCAGTACTTATTGAGATGATGAAAACGTCTGTTTAAGTACAAGGATGTTCAATGTTTAAGTACAAGGATGAAGACGGGCTATCCGAGTATTCAAGTATTATTGTTGTGGAGAATAAGTTGCGATAGTCCTGCTTGCGGACACATCTTATTATCTTCTTCAAAATAACCTATGCGGCGAAAGAAACGAAAGGTAAGTAAAGGGCTGAAATAAGTACGCATTGACTGTAGTCCTCACCTCACTCAAGGTTAAGGCGTACTGCCGTGAATTTCACGAAGTGTTGATGATAATCCGGAAAGAGTCAATGGACGTATCGCTCAACTTCCTGCTTGAATACTGAAATAACACCCAAATTAGTTCCGCAAATCACATGAAAAAATTGTGTGGATGTAAACGAAGTTTAGAACGGCTATTTGCACACATAAGGCACGTCAGCACAAAAAAAATGCTAGAGAATGTTAGAAAATATGGTTACAATTATTACGATTGTGACCCATCTTCCTTTCATTCATGATCCACGGATCTTCCTCATGGAGTGTCTCACGCCGGTTAGTCGCGAGGAAACGTGGCGCTTCCCCAGATGGTGAGTGGGGGGTTGATCGCGAATCAAAAGCGACCTTTGCTTCTCTGAGACGCATCTGGATCCAAGAGATGGGTTCACTGTTTCTGCTGCGCCGATTTGGCAGATAGTTTCTGTACTTACGATGACATATTCACACATCCATGCGTAGGTGTGCTCTCGTTTATGTGGATTGTCTTTTACGAGTAAATTCGGCCAAAACCCTGCAATCAAGTAACACAGCAGTATATGGGAGAAAGTTATGAGCCGCCTCCAACAAATAAACTCCATGCCTACTCTGGGAGAAGCTGGTAAGCTACCCGTCAGTATGCCCATGTCCCATGATGAGGGCTCGGCAAGCTATAGGTGGGTATCAAAAAGCTACACCGTAAAACAAACAAGCCTCATTCCCCTGACACCAAAAAGGCTCCCGATACTGCAGCGTTACGGAAAACGAATGCGGACAGGCTGCTGAAATCACAAGGCCATTTTAGGCTACCTAAACCTTAAGGGACCAAGGTGACGATTTGTACATACAATAAAAATGGAGAAAAACTGCACGGAACACGCAACAGTAGAGGAGTCGACGGCGCCGGCGTTCTCGTCGACACGAGTTTGGCCACCAACATCGATTCATTTGAACAACTAACAACCCGAATCGGACGTTTACTAGTAAAAAGATGTGGACCAACACCAGCTTTGACAACCTTCGCCGTCTACATATCGACATCAAACTATGACGAAGACGTCGGAGCGTTCTATATGGACTTTGCGAAGGTAATCACTGGAGAATGTAACGATAAGATTGAATTTAAACAACCGACTTTTCTTTAACCTCGGTATGACAAAACAACATAAGTTTAAATTGTTGTTTCGACGTCTTCGTCTTCATCAGAGCCGATGATCAGAGTCGATGGTCCACAGTTGCTCGCCTTCTCTATGTGGCATATTTGTCTTCGTGTCGAGTCGGATCTTCCTCAGTAGAGCATCTCTCGAATGAGGCATACTCACTCAGCGACGCCCCTTGATACAGGATGCTGGCTGGTGATAATATTGATTACTTGGTGACAACGGGTTGTTTTTCCGGATAGTTCATCCTGCAGAAATCTGTATCATTATAAGCTAGAACATCGGCTCTGATGAAGAAGTCGAAACGTTAGTCGAATAAAGATTACTTGTCAACCTCGTGCAAGCTCAGCAATTTAAACATATACTAAGATTAGACCCAGAAAAACGTCATATGGAGACCCACGGATTAGAATGGAAGGAGCGTGGTGAGCGGCTGTCTGAGTTTATCGTGACGAGAAAGACTACTTATGGCAGCTTAATTCCAGAACACACACCCTAAACGCTGGATGTGAGCACCTTCCAGTGGAGAGTACCATGACGACAGAGACCACATAGTAATAAATAGAAGATTTTGCCTTCCCGGTATCGCTGTTGTCACAAAATTTTACAAGGGATCAAACCATTGTCTCCTTCGTGCAAGATTTAATTACTTGAGGAAAAAAGAAAAAGCCGCTGAATTCAAAAAACGAAGTCCAAAAACCACCATAAACTGGGACTTATTCAATTCATTAGTCGACTGCTGGGAAGATGCCGTTGTCGATAACATCGACAAAGAATACGATCGGCTCACTGAACATCTTCACGTTAGCGCAATGAAAGCTGAGAGTTCGGAAGTCACCGAGAGAGGTCTGTTTTCAGAAACACTCGAGCTGGTACGCCAGCGTAGAATCCAACGAGCTGACGGCAAGCGCGAACTCACGTCTGAACTTGTAAAACAATGCAGACAGGTGATAAAAGATCTTAAATAGAGAAAAGCGGCAATTGTGGGCGAGGCTGCAGAGGCTGGGAAAAGATTTCGCAAAGCTCACCGAAACTTCGCCAATTACAAAATCAAAATGATTGCACTCCGACGACCAGACGGAACAGTGACAGCGTCCAGAAAGGCAATGGAGAAAATTATTCACGATTACTACTCAGATCTCTTCGATAGCCACGTCCACCTTCCGTCATGTGAAATAGAGGAAGATGGATATGTTCTACCACCGGTTCTCCCGCTCGAAATCCGACATGCTATTTCGTCGGTGAAAAATCGAACAGCGCCAGGTCTAGACAGGATGAAATCCGAATACCTTAAGAACCTTCCGCCCGTCCTCGTAAACACACTGAGTCGGCTTTTCACACGTATCCTGTCTGAATGCAAGGTCCTACTCAATGGAAGACCAGCAAGACCGTGCTATTACTCAAGAAGAGTGACCTCTGTGATGTCGGCAACTATCGCCCAATCTGTTTGCTGTCTGTCGTCTATAAACTTTTCACTCGAGTAATCCTAAACGGGATTGACAGAACATTGAACGAAGAGCAGTCATGTGAGCAAGTAGGGTTTCGAAAAGGATTGAGTACTATGAGTCACATCCACACGATGCTCCATTTACGTTTACCCAGGTCGGAAAATCAACACGATGAACAACAGAACTCCAGAGTTGAGCAGGAGGAGACGAGCGGTTTGGTGAGCCGTCAAGAATCGAGGATACAACGAAGAGAATAAACAGTACCCACCTTTTCGACTCCGCGATTCTTCCTGCCTTAACGTATGCATCAGAAAGCTGGCATTCTGTGTCATACAAGCAAGGGAAGAGATCCGAAGCTTTGACTTGCGTCAAAAATCAAATTTGTCATTCTACGCACGAAATTGTCGAAGGTAAGGTGGGCCGGACACGTAATGCGTATGAATGACAACCGATGGACAAGAGCCGTTAGTGACTGGATTCCTCTAGATTTTCACAGGTCCTGTAGGAATACCACCTACCTGATGGTCAGAGTTCTTCATGAAAACCCTAGAAGAAAGATATGATGCTCAAATAATGCTCAAGGAGTCTCTAAAGCCAACAGAACTCACTGAGCTACTCTTGCCCGCGACAGGGAAAAATGGAAAATTTAGTGGCGCCCGTTCGAGTTCCTCGACGATCGACGGGACAACAAGTGATGCGACTATACCTTCCGTTATTTTTAATCATTACGCTTATCATTACAATGATGCAAATAGTTACAAATGGTCTTTCTCTTCGTTGTTAATTGCAAAAGAATCGTATTTTAACAAAGGGACTAGGGAGACGACGTAGAGGAAAAGATTCTAAATAACTTAGTTTCCTACCTACGTGTAAAAAATGTCGAAGAAGCTGCTATGGAATAAAAATAGTAAAATCTCACGCTGCATCGAATACTAAATATAATATACTGTAAATACAAATAAATGTAAATAATACTATCAAGGTAGGGAAGGTGACTAGTACTTCGGTACTCTTACTAATTAGCAAGGAATTCAGACCGCACTCAATTTCTATCCAGAAAATCCAGCGATCCTCGAACTATATCCCTCTCCATCGAATCAAAAGAAGAAGAAATAAGAACTAACGAAACATCGACCGCAAACGTTTGAAAGATTTAATGATGAAACTTTATCTGACCTAATGCAATTTCGCGCTCCCCGGTCATTAAATCAAAGTGTTGTCTTAGCCCTATACGCCTCGTAATATCCCGTGCAAGACACAGACGTACTGCCTTCGTCCTGCTCGCAGATTCCAGAAGTTTCTGGATCTTGCGGAGATGTATAAGTATCGGGAGTCAGGACTTTTCTATGTAGTGACGTGGATTTGTACGAATATTTCATGGACAATCAGTGTTACGGACGTTGGATCGAATCGGTGAATAAGCATCTATAAACGGAAGTACTCAGTACGATTTTTTAGTACGGAAAACAGGACTTTAGGCGAATTTCATGTCAACGTGTGCCATCAAAGAGTGCTGGTTACCATCGAGACTCTTAGTTTGTACGATCGTTTAGAATGAATTTGATGCGTGGATGATATCCAGAATCTGTATCATTCAGGCATTCCATGTCTTCCAGGATGTTTTTTCGAAAGGCTGCACGTGTTGGAGGTCTAGTGGCTGTCGCTAGCGGCTCGTTTTTGCTAGGAACTCGTTACGGAAATGAACCGCCGTTGAAGAACGTGAACGCCGCAACTGCTGTGACCGTTAGTAAATTATTACTTAGCTATCATACAGCTTAACTTAACCTATGTATCCATTCGGAAGCACTAATGTTCAGCGCCGTGCAGGAAAAACAGCAGTGACCGTCTTCTACTTTTTCTAGCCACTTCCAACGCTACCAGCACTACCGTTACCAGTTGAACGAGAGAAACCAATAAGTGATATCGGTCCGTCCCGAGCATCGGAGATAATGCGCTACGGTTTTCCGGGCTTCGATAATCTGAGGACATTCGAGGATTTTGTGCTGTCCTACGATCGCAAGACGAGAACTGCTCACTGGGTAAGTTATTTGGATACCTTGATGGCTCATCCTCATTGGTTGTGCGGGCCCCAGGATTTTTCGGAATTTTGCCGGTTTAGCCATTGTGGTTCCCTGGAGTTCCGAGGTAAGCTTAGCCATAGTCTGGTCCAGGTCGTTACCATCACATTCAGTCTCCGGCCTTTGGATTGGAGGAGATTTGCACCATGCGACTTTGATACCAGGACGGTAGTGGGTCCTGGTATTGGTTAACTTCTTAGCTGGGCTTCCTGATGGAAGCGCCGGACTCCTTCTCAGCTTCAGAGACCCTGCTTGGGATTGAATTCCTTGTTGTACATCGTAGTCTGACACCGAGGAACACTTCCCAGCCACGATGAGGCGGTAAACCGTTGGAAAACTAGATAAGTTACTAGTTCCATTTTGAAATCCAATTTAAGTTGTGCTCCAGTTTGAAGTTTCGTAGGTTTGTGAACATCTGACACCATCGAGTCTCAAGTATGATCCTTCTGTTGATCGTTCGAAATGTGAATTCCGTCCGGATGAAAGTGTTCACAAATATTTTCAGTCCGAAAATTCTGACTACAGAGTAAGGAACTGTTCTTTTTTCTTCTCACTTTAGCTGTATTACAATCAATGATGGTGGTCCGTTGCAGGGTAGTGGATATGACAGGGGGCATTTGGCAGCTGCTGGAAATCATCGTAAAACCCAAAACTCAGTTGACCAGACGTTTCTGCTGTCGAATATGAGCCCACAAGTCGGGAAAGGTTTCAATCGTGACAAGTGGAATGATTTGGAGCGCTACGCTAGGTACGGAGAAGTTTTTCGACTACCAATTTTTATCCTTTTGCAAAAGTACTAACATTTAGAAAGGTTGCACATAGAAGTTTAAATACGTATATTCTGACGGGACCTCTCTATCTTCCTCACAAGGCGGAAGACGGGAATAATTATGTTAGATATAAGGTTGGATTGCAGTGATTTCAGTTTTCCTGATGTAATGTTAACCATTTATTCGCTTCCTATTTCAATTTTCCACAGCATGGTACTATGTGAAACACAACCACAAGGATGCTGAGATACTTGTTAAACTCAGGGCCCCATGTGTCAGCGATGAGGAACGAACCTGCCACTACCCTTTCCGGAGACTAACGCATTCACCACAACACCATGCATGTTTTTGGGTTCGCCTATTTCTCAGCTTTAGTTTGACTGGGTTCAATACCTATTTATGTTTCCCAGGGTACTGGTAGGTAGAAAACTAGCTGAGAGACAGACGAAACGAAGGACACGCATGGTGTGATGGTGAACGTGTTAGCGCCCGGAAAGGGTAATAGCGCATTCGTTCCCCACCGCATTCACCTGTGGTCCGCAGTTTTGCAAATATCTCAGCATCATTACGGTTGCATTTCTCCTAATCGATTAAATCAAAAAGCTCTCAACAGTTTGATTTGCTAGTGAATGATTATCTACGTAGCGTGCAATTTGTTTCGGGTTTAATTTTCAGGTAATTGGCACGAATAACGTTGCTGTACCTACTCACTTCTTCAAAGTAATCCTTGCTGAAGTATCACCGAACAGTTTCGAAATGGAATGTTTTGTCCTTCCGAATCAGGTGATAAACCTTATGTACTGTTGATGTGCATGTTTTTCAGCATTGTAAATCGTTGTTTAAATACAATGATGCTGAGCTATTTGCAAAACTCGGGACCTCAGGTGTCTGAGGGAGATCGAACACACTATTACCGTTTCCGGGAGCTAAGCGTTCCTCGCCATGCCATGCGGGTCCTTCGTTTCACCTTTCTCTCAGCAGTGTTTAATAGGCTCAATCAGCAGTCACCCGCCAACGGGATTGATCTGGGGTGCACAAACACTTTGCCAAAAAGAATAGGAACTAAATAAAGAGTGACTACACTGTGACTTACACTACAGCTTCAGCTTCAGCTTTAGTGGGTTCAACGCATATTACAGCTTCAGCTTAAGTGGGTTCAACGCCGATTTTTGCTGTCTAGATTCCGTTGATGCGTGATTGCTGATAGCATCTATAAGTTAAAACATGCTTGAGAGGAACGCGAAACGAAGGGCACACATGGTGTGGTGGTAAACACGTTATCCATGGAAAGGGTAATTGCGCGTTTGATCCCCACCGCAGACACCTACGGTCCTGAGTTTTGCAAACATCTCAGTATCATTATGGCTATACTTCACGGCATACCCTGCCATGAAAAAAAGAATTAGGCTGTAAATAAAAAGTGACTACATTGTTTGAATAATCCTTTGTAGGTCATCCCGGACTCCACAGAGTTAAGCACGTTCTACGTTCCATTAGAAATGATTGAAAGGTCTGGCGGGTTTCTTATTTTTGACAAATTACCCAGAGATAAATTGAAAAAAGTGAACGGGAAGAAGACTGGTGGTTTTTGGTAAACACCTTCTATCTCCCGTTTTCTATTTCTAGACACAAGGACTATGTTGGTAACCGGTCTGTTCATGTCTTTTCGTCTTATGAACTATTCATTGTTTCTATTGTATATATCCTAATTTACTTTCAACCTTCATTTTTTACTCTTCAGTCTTCCACTGTTTACGAATCTCATATAGTGCAGAACTGTAGGTTCAGTCTTGTTGATTTTCAGATTGTTACGGTACCCATATTGAATGACGAGTTTATATAAATGGTTATGTTGTACTTGTTTACATTGTTTGGTTATATGTGGGTGGCACACTACTCGTGTTCTGGGTGTCAGCACAAAAGAAATTGGTCTCAGTGTCGCACTTAATGCTTTCCAACTTTCATGAGATGTCAATCGGAACTCAGGCTAAAGAATGGCGGATTTCTCGAGTGAATTCATTTCCAAGAATCAGTTAGTTGAGCATGGGCCAAAAGCGATCGTGTAGTTGTGATTGGCGGAATAGTTCCTTTCACCTATAACCGGTAAAGCGTATGTGCCGATTTAGCAAGCTAATGTTTTATTTTTGTGGCCTAATCTGTTGTCAAGTTGTTGTCGCTAGAACAGTAGAGAGTTTTATAGAGAATTTCTTTATCAAATAGAGCCGCGTGCGTGCCTACATTCACATTCCGTCTTAACCATCAGGCACGCCACCAGCTTGATTTTATAGAGAAATTCTTTATGCTGCAGGATGGATTATCCACTGAAAAAACACGTTGTTAGCATCAGACTCGTTTCGTTGCACCATCATCGAAGAAGATCTTCGCCTTGGCCAGAGATTCGGCTGCTATTTGAAAATTTTTTCATCTTCGTCCCGATTCTCCAAGAATGCTGATCCATTCGAATCTCCCTGGAATCTTGAAATAGCAGTAGCAAGATGTTTCTATGTGTATGGCGAGAGAGCAAATGAGTTTGTCCCAGATAAGTCTGGTACCAATTCCATGACCGTGGAGAGATTAGAGGCTTGGTGGGCACAAGGTATGCCTTATTACTGGGCCTTTTTTTTAAACCAATCTATTCATATTAATTTGGAAAAGAATTTTAACTGAATACGTACTGATTGAAGGTATAGCCTTATCTACACCGAAGTCACCAAGGTGCCCATAAGCGCCAGAGCACAACAAACTCTAGAAGGATATTAGATGCAGAAACTACTAAACATAATGCCCATTCACCTCATTCTGAAAGCGATCCCGAGACGGGAGCGTTTAGTAAGGGTGGTACGAAGGGGATGAAGCCAAAATCTCAGGGCTATTTAACCCTCAAGCGCTGTGGCTGTGATGAGAGCTTTTGCTTAGAATGCACTCCATCGGAATCCATTATGGAGAACCTGACGATACAGGCTAAGAAGAGCGATCGAAGTCATGGGAGAAGGGGCCTCTAATGGTCGAGATGAGAACACATCACTCATCAGATGCTATCTGTTATGATGGATAAGCGATACGCCTCCTGAAGATGCATGAGTAAACAGTAAGCGGCGTTCGTATCCTGTTCAATACAAGTTTGGACGTAAACATCGATTCCTTTGAATAAATAACGACCCGAATCAGGTACTTACGGTTGAAAGGATATGTGGAAGCATTGGGTTCTGTTTGTACTCCAACATGGAATTATGCTATGACGAAGTTGATTTCGAGGCATTTCTTGCGGACGTAGAGAAGTGTTGCAGAAAAGTTCGTACTTTCGATCATATAAGGCCTCGTTGGCCACTTCAATGCAAAGATCTACAAAAAAGGTGAATAGCTTCACATCAGAATCCATGCGACGAACCCAATGAGTGGTTGTCTAGGTTTGTTATAATAACTTAGACCACTTATACTAAATCACAATTCTGGAAGCAGTCTAGAGACTCTAATACTGAAGTGTGATGTGTATCAGGCACGTAATGCAACAATGTAAGACCTGAAACTTGAGTCGTTAAGGCTTTACATAAGGACGAGAGTAATGGATAAAGCTCTTGACGCTGATCAGTCGCTGAGGAATCCGCCGTGCATTCAAGCGTCGTCATGACTTTATCAAGCAAGACTGAATGCTTATCAGGGTCATACAATGACTTTTGGTACCCCATCGATGTATCAAGTGATTGCTACTATCTTTTGAGACAGCTGTGATACGAATTTGCGGAGACGTGAGTAATGGGAGGCTTGGTGATTCCAAGGCGTGGGAGCGAACCAACTACCACATGTGTATTTAAAGACATCTCTAACCGCTCTGCTAAATACTTCCAAGCCTTTGTATAAACATGAGTAATACATCAGCAGCAAAATAAGAAGATTGCACAATGTTTACATAGGAATGGAAAATGGATTATAGAGTATTTACATAGCACTGAAGAATATCTTTAATGGATCAGCAATTAGAAAGAGATGTGTATAGCGTACGATTCAGGCTAACATAGCATATGTGGATGATTGGCTCACTAACTGAATACTGTTCTATTTCTATTACATAAAGGAGACAAGAAAGTGGTGAAGAATGTGAAAACAGCAGTAAGTGTAGGAAGGAAAAAGGAATGAAAGGATGACGAATGACCGTTGCTAGTATGACGGCGCTCCAGAGGTTCACACTTATTGCAGTCAGATATGGTGGAATGAGAGGAAATGTTGACACAAAGCTGAAAAAGACCAAGTGACATTCGATTTCGATCGGAGATTGTTCATTAGATAAGCTGTATAGTTTACACAAAAAGTGCATCAAATAGCTGTTCGAACTCATCCCTACAGTTATATGTAATAGCAACAGAGGATATTCTCTAGGAAGCAGAGAACAGTTTCTAATGGAGTTCAGGAGGAGTCACATGTATATCACAGAACGAATGTTAATCATGGCTACTACCACTCAGCTGGTACTTCCAGAAGGATTTCGTAACATATGGGAGAAGATAAGAGCAGCACACAATCAACATAGGAATTTGCAGGGCAGCAGAACCAAATAGAGAATGACCTCTATGATACCACCTGTATCATGTATCGTCTCGTTGGACGTCGAGTGACTCTACCGGGCGCCAGCAAATCTTTCATCTTTTCCAGTCGCGTGCAAGAGTAGCCCAGTGTGATCCGTTGGGGCACGTTGAGCATTACACCTTTCTTCTACGGTTTTTGTGAAGAACTGACCGTTAGGTCGGTGGTCTTTCTGCAGTATGTTTGTCACTCGGAGGGATCCAGTCAATAACGGTTCTTGTCCACGAGTTTTCGTTCACACGCGTTATGTGTACGTTGATTTTTGGTGTAGAGCGTAGCTTCTGATCATTTCCCTCACCTGGTTGACACGGGATACTCCTAGCATCGTCCTTTTGATTGCGCGTCCAACAACGATGAGTGACCTTTCATCCTGCTTAAGCAGCGACCATGGTTTTTCCGCATCCTTTAGTGCTGAAGGAATCGTGGAGTCGAAAAGGTGCGCACCGGCGTTGGGTGTTCGTTGTTTTCCTCACTATTTCTTCGTTGCTCTTGAAAGTTTCCCAAGCCGCTCGTTTCCTTCTGCTCAGCTCTAGAGCTAACTCGTTGATCATGTTTATTTCATTTCCCGACCTAGGTAGACATAGCTGGAGCATTCGGAGAAATTCGTTCCGTTGAGTGTGAATGAGGCATACGAAACCAGTTCGTTCTTCATGAACATCATTTTTGTGAGATTTAGTCGAAGACCAATCTTTCCACAGGCTTTATTAAAGTCGGCAAGCATACGCTCCGCTTAACTAATGTTTGGTGTTATAAGAACGATGTCATCAGCAAAGCGAAGATGGTGTAATTGCCGGCCATCTATTTTAACTCCTACGCTGTCCAATTTCATGTTCGCATGACTTTCTCGAGGATGACGGTGAATCATTTTGGCGTGTTGGTGTCGGATTACCCATCCCCTCTTTTGGCGTCGACTATATTGATCAGGAACTATCTAGCTTTCCAGGACCTCCATGACTGCTTCTATCCCAATTGAGTCGAAGGTCGTCTTTAAATCGATGAAAGTGAGACAGAACGGTGTTTTGTACTCTCGCGATGCTTCATTGAGTCTTGTTATCGTGTGGATGTGGTCCATCGCATTGAATCCTTTTCAAAACCCTGCTTGGCTGTCCTTCGTCTAGTGTTCTGTTAATTCTGTTTAGGATGACTCGAGTGAAAAGTTTGTAGATGACAGACAGCACGCAGATTGGGCGACAGTTGCCGATATCGTGTAGGTCACCCTTCTTGAACAATTGCACGATCTTGCTGGTCTTCCACTGAGTAGGGACCTTGTATTCAAACAGGCGACGTGTGAAGAGCAGAGCTAGTGTGTTTACGAGGACTGGCGGAACGTTCCTCAGGTGTTTATATCTTCTCATGTCCGGACCTGGTGCTGTTCGATTACAGAATATTAGGACAGCAGTAACATCAGCTAGGGAAAACCTTTTGTTTACTATGATGTGGTGTATTTCGCTATGGTGCTCTACAATGGGAGTCTTCCACGTTGAAGGTTGAGAATGGGCTTCTGGAATTGCGAGTTACCATGAATGGTCTTGGCCGACGTGATAAACTTAGACAGACGCTCTCTTTGTTCGTTCCATTTTAATTCGTGGCTACTAATACGATGTTCTTCAGACGTTCTTCTAGGTCCACTTTTAGCGTTAAGATATTCAGCGATGACCTCAAAGAATGCATGGTCTGGCTTTTGGCCGAATTGACTCGTAGAAACAATTCACATGGACGAGAACGCACCCACTCACCCTTGCATAAATACTCCATCGAAAATACGGAATTTATGTGCTAAATCGGTGCAGCAGAAACAGGCAGTCCATCTCCTGGATCCATCTGCCTTTTTGGAATGACATATTTATTTATGTGATCTTATAAACTGATCTTCTTAAGCTGACGCGAGGTTGGTACAGATCTTCGTTGTCGTTGTCGTCGTTTTTGATGTCATTGATCGATGGCTGACGTTTCGACGACTTCGCCTTCCTCAGAGCCTGGACGTATTTAATATTAGAATATTTTTGTTATTCGGTGG